TGCGGGGCCAGCCGGCAGCAGCCTGCCCTCCTGCTGTGCTCCCGGGCATCTCCCTGGAGCTATGGCGGGGTCCGGCTCCCCATAGTGCCTGCGCCCTCCCTGGTGGCCTGGGCACGGGTTAAGGTGCTGGGTGTCACCTCCCAGCAGCCATGGGCAGGGACGGGCACTGGCAGGGGTGCGCTGCCCACGCTCAGCGCCTGTCCCCTGCAGAGGAGACGTACACCAATATCACTCAGAAGTGCTGGGAGTTCTTTGTTGACCTGATGAGGAACGTGACGGCGTCAGAGCTGTGCGAGTGGAAAGTCATCAGCAGGTACGGCGTAGCTGGAGAACCCTCCCGGGCAGTGCTGGGGGGGGGTGTAGGGGCTGTGACCGGCTCTGGAAATGCCACATGCGGGGACCCTTTGGTGGGGGCATTGCCTGTGGTCCCTCCATCCCCTGGGACACACAAGTGGGAGGCAGCAGAAAGTGGGCAGACCCCCCTGGGCTGTGCCGATGGGCCACCAGCTCCCGAGGGACCCAGGGCCACCTCCAGCAGCTCCTGCCTGCGCGGGGCTGGCTGGCGCAGGAGTCCAGGGTAAGCCCTGGGCAGTTCGGAGGGGTGCTGCTGTGCTGGGGGTGTGCTGCCCAGGCGGTGTCTGTGGTCCCCGTCCCCTCCTAGCACCACACCGCTCTCTTCCCCCAGGCCTTACAGCTTGCTGCAGGCCTGCCTGGAGGGCTGGGCGGACCACCTACGCTACGGCTACCCCAACGCACTGGCGGAGCAGTACATCTTCCAGAGCCACCATCGTTACTTCCACAACTGCACCCTGGAGCACCAGGTCTACTTCGACCCTCCTGAGGATGTGCTGCTGGCCATGATCATCGCCCCCATCTGCCTCATCCCTTTCCTGGTCACTTTGGTCATCTGGCGCAGCAAGGATGGCAAAGCCCAGCCCTAACGCTGCCGGACCGGGGTCTGCTCGCCGCAGGCAGCGGGGCAGGGCGGCCTTTGGGCAGCGGGGCAGGGCGGCCTTTGGGCACCCCTTCCCGCCTCAACCGCCAGCCCCGCGTCTGGGGATTAAACGATTCTT